AGCGACCCCCTATGACCTGCTACTGGACAGACCCCACCCTCCTGCGAAGGTTTCAGGTCGATATCTCCAATGGTGTCTGAATGCATAGCGTCAGATGGACAGAGACAGAGATCCTTGCTTACAGATATAAACAACCATGTATGGGCTGTTGAAAAAGAGTAACCTTTTGCCAAGATTTTCAGAGCGCCTGCTTTCATTTTTGGCATTGCTGTTTTTTTAAATTACTTTTTACTATTTAGCCTTTTATTGGCCCTCTTTGCTTTCCCCCCCTCCATATTTTATTTTCCTTCTGGTTTGGTCACAGAAAATATGAACCTCCCTGGTGGTATGTGTGGCTATAGGTGTTCCACCTATTGGCCACTTAATGGGTTAAATATGGAAAAGTTTTCTTATTGTCTAGTGAGGCCTATCATAACAAAATAGTCAAAAATGCTTAATGTCTTTTGACTGCAGAGTTTAACAGTAACATACATTATTAATTTATTTCCTGCATAGAAAATTAAAAGCCTTTGCTTGTGAACAGTAAGTTGTTGAGAGCTTAGACAGTTCATCAGCTAAAATTTATTTTATCCAAACTCCAGATTTCAGGTTTTTAACTAAGGCACACCTTTACCATTTTCATATCAACAAAAAATGTGTTTGATTCCTAGTCTCTTAAGAGATCTGTGAATGTAATATGCAGCCCAACAAACAGTATATATTTCGCTTTGATGCTCCAATTAAGGTGAAGTTTCTTTAAAATTTCAGTTTTTTACTTAGAATAAAATTCTCACCTGATGAGAGACCCATCTTAAATTACATGCATGGATGCCAACCCTGGGTGAAGATTTTACGTCTCCAATGGGAATCTTTTTGGATGGATCATTCAGAAATGAACTATGAAGGAAATGATTCTAAAAGGAAATATTCTGCTGGATGGGGTAACCAGTTGAAAAAAATTCAGTTATTCATCTCCGAATTCATTGAGAAGGAAAAGAAATGAAGCAAGGATTAGAAACCAAGTTGATCTTGCGTGCAAGTTGGCATGATATACCGTGCATCAATTGAAGAGGATACTTTAGATTTTCTTGCTCAAAAGTAACTTGGTTGCATTTTAGTTGTGAAAGGAATGACAGGAAATTCCTTGCAACATGTTATTTACAGATCTACAGAGTTGTAAATAAAGAACAATTCTTCTATTTTGACACATTTTAATAACAGGTAACAGCAGAATTCTTCAAATACCCAAATTACAAAATATCCACCTCAATTGACGCACAGTGTAATTGACATGCGATGATAGAAATTCACGTTTGGGAAGTATTTATTTTTTAATTTTAATACATTAATTTCAGAAATTTTTTTTGACACTGCTGTGGTGCAGTTATTGGTACTGCAGTTTCTGGAATTCGAAAATGTCCCTATCGTTAAGTAAATCAGGTGTAAATGGCAGACAGAAATTAATGCCCATTGAAGTTTCCTTTTTTTCATACGTCGAGAAAAGGTTCCTTTTTTTTTCTGAAAACCTATTTGACAAACCTCACTGAGAAAATCTCTCTGGGCTTTCATCGGTTGTAATTCCTGCAGCACTGATGCATCATCAACATATGGAATCGGCTGCTGATACTGCATCTATACCTTCGGTAGGGTCAGGCAGTCATCGGCCGTTTCCCACGAAAAAAAAAAAATCATGACGTGATTAAGTCTCCGTTGTCGAATGATGGCATCAGGAATGTCGGCTCTGTTCCCAGAAAATGCAGACTTGTATACCGGTTCTGGTCGCTTTCAGGCGAGCTAAATGTATGCGTTACTCGCGCCGACCCAGAAGTCCCTCCTTGCTGCCGACGAATGCCTGCATCGGGCATTCTGCAGTTCCCCTCTTCAAGAATGCGTAGGCCTTTGGGTTTCCGCTTTCTCCTCGAGGAGTTTCTTGTTTTTTCGACATAAAATCATTCTACAAGCGTCGTATTCGGCTATTCTATGCCACGACGACTCCGTTAAAAATGGCATTGGGCCATTTTGCCACTTATTTCGTTCAATAAAATCCACACGTGGTCTTACAGCCACGCAAAAAACGGTATGGAGATTCGATGCCATAAATCTCATGAGCCGGCGTGGGAGAACTTACCTCTGAAGAGCAATGGATCAGAGTTTGATGATTTTTCTTACCTGTATTTGCCACAGTCGGCATCGCCTGACGTGTGACATAACCGACAATCGGGCGTCATTCGCACAGCCGAAGTTTAAATAATTTCTTTCGCACTGTCAATTGTCTTAAGACGAGTGTTGCAAGATGAATTAATTTCCAAATGCTAATGAGGCGTCAGTATTCTAAAATGTACATTCTCTTGACCTTTCGCAAATTCAGTTTTTCTATCCATAGAAAATCTAGTCACAGACTCGGGACCTCGATTCCAATGGTGTGCTGACACAGAAACGTCATAGAATCACTAGGAGGGAGAATGTCCCTGGACGAATCGTCAATCCCTGCCAAGGAGCAAGTAGACAGGGAGCTCCAGCAGTTTCTCCTCGTCCAGCAGCAAAGGGCACAGTTTCACGCTCAGGTGCAGCTTCTGAGACTATTGCTCATATGGGGATTAGCCAGAGGCTACACCTATGTGTTTTTCCAGGTGATGAAACTTCATGAAATGTGTTGGGACTTGTGTACGGAGGGGAAGATGAGCTCCAAGACGGATGCCAAAACAGAGACGTGCTTTTCGAACTGTGCCGACCGCTTCATAGACGTAAATCTCACCATCACGCAGCGCTTTGCACAGCTACTCCAAAAGTCAAGTGGAGGTTTCTAGAGTTTTGCATGATTTAGAAATGAAATAAAAGGTGTTCGTTCTTCTTGTAATAACCATGCATTTCCCATTTGAAAAATGCATACAGAGTTCGATCTAATAATAGATATATAATAACACTGCCATACCACATTTACTCACATGCCTATCCAGCCAATCTCACATTCATGTTTTCCACTGTTCCGAGTACAAGGAATGTCTTACAATTTCAAATAGTTCAAATGTATCTTTAGCAGACGGCATCTCTGAATCCGAGGTAAGTTTGCTCTGTAGATTCTTCAGAAACTAACCACAGACAAAATCAATAAACTCCAACCAAGGAACCGATGGAGTGAAAAAAAATCACTCCAAAACGGTGAAAGGCGTACGCACAAGGAATCTGCAGAACCTGGTCATAGATTGATTGATCAAATGAATGAATGCAAGGTACAAGCGCTGGTATTTTAGGAGCTGTTCTGGAGAGGGGACTGCTTGAGCTGGAGGATGATGGATCGCATGCGGGATGTGTCCTTCACTCCCCTCGAATGCTTTGGGTTGAATTCGCATAGTTTGGCGATGCGCTCCCATTCCTGACCAGGTTCAACAGCTGTGCTCATGGTGTGGTACTCCTTCTCAGCAGCTCTGTAAATAAAATAAAAAGAATATGGGAGAAATTTAATCATCACTGTCAAGACTCTTCCCATTTATATTTGCAATTATTCTTTTTAGCCTAGAATTTACTATTACAGTTATCAGCCATGCAATAAATTATTTGAATTAATGAAATTACAATTGTTCTTGGAATCACTCTAAAGGAAACCCAAGCATAATTTCACTCTTCATTTCAATAGGATTAGTTCCCTTTTGCGATATGTAAAGATGCAAGATGCATCAGTTTTTTCATATCTCAGAGATACATCATCCTAATATTTTATAATGTCAATGTCCTGGCTTGGAATAGGTAGTGGCTTATTTATCAGAGTTTAAAGATTCTTTAGCCAAGTTACAATGATCATGGGGGCATGGGAACCAGTCTTGAAGGGAAATATCCATATCAATCGAGCAAGATTGATCCCAAATCCCCCAAGAAACTTCCCTTTTATTAGTTTCCATACTGCTCCTGGTTAGCCCATTCTAAATCCTGCCTGTCCTGTTCTGATGATAAAAAAGTGATTATTCAGTGAGGGATTCCTCATATCAGGATCAATTAGGATTGGCTCTATAAGACAGGTCCCATTCTGCTTCTGTGACACCTGTCTGGGATGCCCCTACTGTGGGAAATGCAATATGATGTTCCCCTCTACTCTACTCTAATCAATGATCTAAACAATGATTTGTCATATATGTAGGCCTCAGATACTGGAGAATGGAGCAATGCAAACAGTTCTGTGCAATCTGGAGTTGCCATGATGCTCTGGAGTCTGCTGAGCACTCTGGAATCTAATTCTAAATATCTTTGATTTGGAGGTAAAAAAGAATGCACGCAATAAGCTCATACCAAACCTCATCACACACCAAAATCACAAAACTGAATCTAAAGCTTACTCTTAAATTATGAAAATTATCCACCTAAACTTCTTCACTTTCACAGAAAAATAAGACATGACATTTGGGTTGTTCCAGTTTTGAATTTCAAGATTCACATGAATTCTTCAAGCCTTTAAAAGGGCAGATCATTCCCAGCAGCAGTAATATTTTCTTGCAGTTTTGCATGAAAGAACAACCTTTTAAGCATTTTTCATTTAAATTCTCTGATATGAATGATATCTTTAAGCATCAAAGCATACACAATGGCCAAAATAATAGAAACCCCCAGCCTAGCACAGTGTGTTCCAGTTGACACTACAGGATTTTATTGTTTCATTATAAATTTTCCCCAGATATTGAGTGCATCAAAGATTTATGCAGCAAAATTTCAGTTGATTTGGTGTATTGACTTTTGAGATAGAGCTGAAAAGGCAAAGTCTGACAAATTTGAAGCTTTCTCTGAAAAGCAATTCACTTGTGGTGTCATGTTTTAACCTCATGAAAAAGTTGGCATCAGTATCCCATAACCTCATGCTCTGCTGTCTGTTTTTTGTTTCTGGGTTTTCAACAACTCATGAAAGAGTACGAACAGTGTCATTGAAGTTCTGCATTGATTCCAGCAAGAATTCAGTGAACAGCTGGAAGAAGTGCATTTAAAACTGAAAGCCTTGTCAAAGTCAGTATGATTAATGGGTAAGATGACGATTAAATGTTTCCATATTGATTAGTAAGCTTCTCTCTCAGATGACCAATTTGTTTAATTTGGGAAATGTACCTTCTGCCTTATAAAACTATCCATAATTTCTCAATTTTGCAAATCAATGGAAACTTTTGGGCAGAAAACTTAACTAAGTAAACATATCTGGTGGAAATAAAAGGAATTTCCGATCATTGGCTCTAATATATTATGAAGCATTAAAAATTCAAGAGTGTTAACTGGAACACTACTAGGCTGGGGGTTTCTATTATTTTGCCAGTATGCATATTCAAGATTACACTAGACATCACTCTCAGGTCTTACCCCTGCAGCAGATATATAGGGTGATTCAAAATTATTTTTGGTGCCATATATGGTATCAATCGATTTGTCCACTTCTTCTGAGCAGGTTGGATAATATTAACATGGGGCGAAAGATACTTAGGAAGGAAAGACCGAAAAAGAGTCATAATTAGTGTAACATTTCTTGACTCTTGGGTCACTCCACACCAAATCAACCAGAGGATGAGCTCAACCATCTTCGATTTTGACAAAAATCAGTATGCATGTAGAGGAATTAATTATAATAAAATATATTCCAGATATTTTTTTTTTATCTTGCTCCAATCTTGAGACATGCATTTTCAATATGGCACCAAAAAAAAACGTAGGTGACTTTTGAATCACCCTGTACAATAGTGGACATCACAGTGATGTTGAATGTACTTGAAGGGCTAAGGAAATAACTGAAAATATAAAGCAACTGCTTCACTGATGGACATAAACATAAAGCACAAGACATGCAGTGACCGTGCATTTCACAATTCTAAACATGGATTTGTAGATTCTAGTCAAGTCAAAGAGATATGAATATTATTCAAGAGAATTGCAAATATGGTACTAATATGCATGTCATAAAATGTCATGCATACTACAGCAATACAAAAGCACAGTGCTTGGTGGGCAGCATGCAGAAAAATGGAACAACTCCTCACATTGCAGCTTCCCTGAGTGCATGTGAATTCAAGAATCATCAGAACATGAAGCAATAGTGAGAATATTTTATATCAAAAATGAACCAAAATCCCAGAACACACTGGGAACACAGAACACACTATTCACTGTCAGTGTTTCACAATATCAAAAAATAAGAAAGTAATGCTTTGAGATAGGAGTCATACCAGTTAGCATCTCTCTCTCTCATTACCTGTTGGCTGATTTGGTTTTTGAAATCTGTTCCTCATGGTTTTTGTACCATTCTTCCAGCTCTCTTTTTGCTTGCTCTCTCAATGCTAACTTGGCCTTTTCTTCTTCTGCATCTGGAAGGTGAAGGCAATCACATAAAATAAATACAAGAGATACAAGTCTTGGAGATCATCACTAGTATCACTCACTACCCTCACCTTTCTTCTCAAGACGTATCCTCTGATCTTCTCTCCATTTCTTGATCTTTTCTGGCTCTTCCAGAGGTGCCTGATAGCGTGTTTCTGCATCAATAACATTATCACCATCACCTTTCCCTTCTTTGCCAAAAAATGTGCTAACCAATTTAAGTGGGAATTCAAGAAAAATTGGCTTGTGGAACACTTCCCCCAAACACCTTATAGAAAGTTAAGTGCAAGAAAGCTTTACACCTCATACATGGCAAAAAAACAAAACAAAAAAAGCAAATTATGTTCCTTCCTATTCAAGCAATTCAACAACATCATAAATTGGAGAAGATGTGGCCTTTGGCTGTCACTGCAAGTGATTGTTATTGATGAGAGGATTCTCCAGTACGGCCTCATCAAAAGTTACACCTTGCGAAGACTATCTGTATGCTCCCATCATAGTCCATATGGGATGTCTTGTAGACATTTCTTAATCTGTAATGCTACTCATACTGTGATTCCTACCTATGACCTCATAATATCCCAACTCAACAAGGCAGGACACTCAGAAATTCCAGAGCTGTGTCCTTTGAAAAGTTATTACCACCGAAGTTTACAATATATACAGAATAACTTTTAATACGGGTGTTCCATGAGTCAGTTTACTGAGGGGTTTTCAGCTATACTAAATTCTTAGTAACTTCATTACTAATTTAAACATCAGGATGAAGATTTTAAGCAAATCTTCCTTCACCTAGAATGAAAATAAAAACTTTTAACAATAATGGAAATTAATAACAAAAACAATATCACAATATTAATTTAATTAGAGTGAGATAGCTGAAAATTCCTTGGTAAACTTAATTTATGGAACACCCCATATATTCGTGGAATGTGAATACTGAGTGATGATTCATTATGAGGCTGAAAGAATTGACATGAACTGTAAACTCATGGAAGTAAAAAAAAAAAAAATATTCCTGAAATTTGATTTACAATAGAGTCCTACGAATGATACAACACTGAAGATGCAGCCAACAAAGCTATCACATCCTCCAATTCCATCTACCTAGGAATCCACAATACATATCCACACACCTTAATTGTACCATACAATCTTCATTCAAGCATAGCAAACAGAAAGTGCAATTTCTTAAGAGTTTTCCCCATACCCAATAATGCATGAGGTTTACAAGCATGCATGCCAAAGTTCAATTGAGTAATTCTTGTGAAATCAATTCATTTCACCTTTCCCTTGCAGTGAAGCCATGAAAGAGCTTTGCTAAAGACCCTAAAAACAGCAGCCAACATTAAGTGGCCATCAAACACAAGTAATCCTATTGTCATTAATGCATTCACTGCAGCATGAGTCACCTGTGACTCATACAGTGTGGTGTATACTTAAATGCACTTTTGTCCCACAGAGAATGTATTAAAGAAGGTATGATAGGATAAGTTCATTTTAACCCTAGAAACAGCAACTGTCAATCAACCAACAGTTCACCTGTCACAGGGTTTAACCTTGCCACTTATACGGTTAAGCAATACTGTCCATACAGGGACAGTCACTAATTACTTCAGAGTCTGTTAACTAGTTTCTCACTAATCAAAAATACCTTCAAATAGTACAGGGGTGGCCAAACTTCCTGACCTCACAAACTGCATTCTCTAGACTCCATAGTCACCACAAGCCACACTAGAACTGGAGCCTATGAGCCACAACATGGCCACCCCTGAACTAGTACTTCACTACAGTATGTCCCAGAAACCCCACCCCAAGTTCTGTAAATTATTGTCTTTATGTTTTTCTGATGGATATGAGTTTTGTATCATTCAGAAGCCCAGATCTTTCTAAACAACTGCTGTTAAACCTGACTGTGATTGCTGGTTGTAGGGTTTTTGAAAAGGGTGTAAGCTACAAAACCCAGAAATATCCTTGACCTCATCAATGCCATCCCCACCAAACTGAATGCCATAAGCTTGGATATGTGCCAGAAAGCAGATGACTTTCCTTGGCAATGCCATATGTGTTATCATTATCAGAATGGGAACCAATTTGAGTGGCAAAAAGAATAGGACTCTCACATGTTCCTCAGTGTTTCACCTGATGTCAGTCCTTTACTTTCTGAGACACAGTTGAAACTTAGATCATCTCACTTGACTTACCAGTCAAGCCTATGTCAAATATGAAGCTTATATAATGTCCCAAAAAATACATTTCCACCATTATGGCATCTCACGTCAGACTTTACAGGGAGAAACTGGATAAGGGTTCATAAAGATTAACTGAATGTTGCTTTTTTAAATACTCTTAGTTATCCACTTCAGTAACTAATCATGGGTCACATAAATGCCACAACATACTCTACAGTATTACTCATAGCCTTCAACTGAACTGGTCAAGGAAGTGTGATGTATCACTATCAGAAAAAGGTGAATTGTTCTTTCATGTATGCATCTATTCATGATGCAACATGCAGTTGTTGACAAGACAGGAAGGAAAGACTCACGCATTTGCTCTGGGATAGGAGAAGAGGAGGACATCTCCTCTGCCTCCATCTGGCCTGTCACATCCCAATCAGACTGACTTTGACTAGCAAGATCCACAAAGCCATCTTTCTCGTCAAATGCCTCGGCTAGCATGCAACCAAAAGAAGCACTTGGAAACTAGCAATGTAGCATTTTCCTCTGTAAGCTTGCATTACTAATGCTTAGAAGAAATTCACTCTGAGCTGACAGATGCTGAGCAGATGCCAGTCCTTAGATGACAAGCATGCTGTCCCATCAAAATTAATGAATACGAGGGCTGTTCTGAAAGTTCTTAGTTACGTCATATATAATGGTACAATTGAAAAATTCGTCTCATCAGGCGAATGAACAATCCATTCCTGAACATTTCCGAAGATAGCCGAAGTCTTATCATCGGTCTATGAAAGCGGCTGACGCAATTGAAACTCATCACTTGCGCCTTGCAAGGAATTCTGCTTCACCACGACAATGCACTGGCGCACAGTGCTGCTTGGACGTTGGACTTTTTACACCAATCTGGTGTCCACCTTGTGAGCCATCCATCTTACAGTCCAGACCTGGCCCAATGTGACTTTTTTTAATTTCCTACAATAAAAAACAAGATGCAGGGAAGGACTTTTTGTGTGCAGATGCAGCCGTCAGAGAATACACAAGCCTCTTTGAGGACCTATCGAAATAAGCATTTTTGAGTTGTTTTGACAAATGGTTTCAAAGAATGAATAAGTGTATTAATGTTGGGGGAGACTACTTCGAGAGCAATAAATTGAATTCAACAAAATTATTGGCCTTTTTCTTTAACTAAAAACTTTCAGAACAGCCCTCGTATATGTGCACTGGAGTAAATAAATCCCTCATTTCTTTCAATAATTTATATTCATTAGACCGCTAACAAGTTACAAGGTCTAAATTATCTGAAACATGGATTCATTCCAATAAATGCCAGCAAGCAATACCAGTATGACATTAAAATTGAACAAGCTCCAAATAATATGAAAAATACAAACAATAGTTTGTTTCTGATTTATTGGCATTGTGCAAGACAAGAATGAACTTGCTTCTACATTTACATCATTATCTAATGTTTCAAATGCCTATTCACATGCAGATTTTACAGTCTGATTCCATCAACATGATATTTAAACATGCCACCAAACAGCAACCTCCTTGTGATGATACAGCAGATGAACATTGAGAGAAAAATAAATACAAATGCTATCAATGCCTTGCATGTAATAAACCTTTTGTAAAAAATATACAAACTGACTCTATACTCTGCAGATACATGGAGATATATGTAAGATGGCCCAGGTCAAATGTAACAAGGTAAACTTTATTTTTTTTTAAATAGAAATAGGACGTTTTATTAACTCAAAATTTGCACAGCATGTTACTGACATAATGGACCAGACATGACATAAGTTTCACTCAAAGTGGCCACCTTTGGCTGTGATTATGGTCTTCAACCTCTTCTCAAAGTTGTTGATGCTGTTTGTCATCACTTCTTTCAGAAATAAGTCCAAAATATGAACCAAATCTTGCTGAGATTGGCCAGACTGTGGTGGGGTTTAGAACAGGCCTTGGACTCACAGATCAACCACATGGTCAAGAGGGTTCAGATCTGGAGATGACGGGGGTCATTTCTCCTTGGTTGAGAACTTTGGCAAATTCTTCCAACATCAGTCCTGGGTCACATTAGCCATATGTGACTTTGCTCCATCCTGCTGGAATGTCCAAGGCTCATCCCTGAACAGATCCTGAGCCTTAGGATGTCTACATAAAATCTATCCTGCAGGATGCCCTGCTCCCATGGGCTCAAGATCTGTTTGGGGATAAGCCTAGGACAGGAGCAATATCTCATACAAGTAATGTGACCCAGAATTGATGTTGGAAGAATTTGCTGAGGTTCTTGACCAAGGAGAAGAGGCCCCGTCGTCTCCAGATCTGAACCTTCTCGACTGTCATGCGGTCGATTCTCAAGTCCAAGGGCTGTTCCAAGCCCCACCACAGTCAGGTCTATCTGAAACAAGATTTGGTTCATGTTTAGGATGTATTTCTAAAAGAAGTGGTGATGAACAGGGTCAGCAACTTTGAGAAGAGGTTGACAAAGGCCAAAGGTAGCCACTTTGAGTGAAACTTAGGCCATGTCTGATCCATTATGTCAAGAACATGCTGAGCAATTTTTGAGTCAATTTACGTGCTATTTCTATTAAAAAAAAATTGCAGTTTAATTTGTGGCACTTGACCTGAACCACACTGTATATAAAAGATTGGAGCAGTCCAATGGGAACTGCTTCAGCCAAACCATTTTTTTTAACTTTAGGCTCATTGTATTGTATATTGTTGTATGCATCCATGCCTGCATGCTCACAGAATTCTGGAATGCAACAGATTTTAGAACATAAAATCTGATGGCTTGGTGCATCTTAATTGCTGAAAGGCTTGGTTTTATCTTTTCCTAGTCTTTTCTAATGATTTTGCATGGTGACAATAATAAATTCTATCTCTCTAGAAAGATCCTTTCATCACTTTTGATTCATAATGAACATAACATGTTTGCATGGTGAATTAAAGATAGAGAGGTCCATGTCCATGGGTCCTGTTGCTGTTAGGGCACTCCCTTTTGTTCTTAAATGGTGTTATTAAAAAAAAGTGAATATATTAGTGAACTCAATTCTTATGTAGCAACGATAACAGAGCCTGCCTGACACATTAACAAACCCATAAGGTCAATAGAATAGGTAGTCAACAGTTTAACATTATTCAGAGAACACATGAAATTTAAATAATGGAAATACAGTTGCTCAACATTCATAAATGCACCCAAGCTATCCTGTTACCCTTTTGAAGTTGTGCTGCAAAGCAACTCCTTGTCAATAACACAATTCAGCTTTCACTATCATAGAATGACATGCACCAGCTAAGAAAAGCCATTCATTCACATGCAGTTTTTCTGTGTAGCTTAAGCTAAATCCATGTGCACAGAGAAAGATGGCAAATGGCAAAATAAGATGAAGATGACATTATGCTAAAACATACCTGGGGGATAGCTGGAGGCCCCATTGGATGACTGGCCATTGGAGACAGGTGGAAAATCATCTTCCAGCCCAGCAAGCTGGTCCTGTTCTCGGGCGAGGAATTCTGCTGCAGGATCCACTTCACCGTTCATCATCCCTGACATTTCCTCTCTTATCCACCCTAATTTCACCCAAGTGTTTGAAGTATTAATGGAGTGCTGCCTTTTATAAATAAATGGAAAGAAACAACCTACTGCAAAGGTGAAATACCTGTACATGAAGAGAGGAGTCATCATAACACCGAGAATAAGAATAATTCAAGTATGAAGTGGGAGTGCTATAGGTAACAAAAATGCCTTCTGTCCTGAAAAAAAAACAAAACCAGCAGCTCTTTCAATAGGAGCTTGCCTGCTCTCCACAGACACTTTTGGCTTGTGCAAAGAAATGAGACATTTTAGTGCCGAAGAGGTAAACAACTTTTAATGAGAGTATAATTCAATGAAATATATGAAAACAGCAAAATTTGTTCACATCACAGCATGGGAATATTGTTACTGAAACAAGTTGAAAAAATATGTAAGGCTTAGGTATTTATTATTTGATAGGAATGTCACCAAATCCTGGAGATTTGAAGACTGCTCACTCAACCAGCTTGTAAATACAAGCACCAGATCCAGGTTTTGTTGGAAAAAGTACAGAATTGAGAGATTCCTTCGGATGATCATGGTAAAACTCTCTCTCCAACATCTCTAGGTATTCTGAGACTCGATCACTGGGTACCAATGCCACCATGCAACCTCCCCAACTGGAATAGAGAACAGAGTTCAGAAAGTTCTGGGTGTATAAATAATAAGGTGAGTACTGCCTAAGCAATATTCAAAGTTGTTCACTTAGTAAATAAATACAAGCAGTTTCTCTTGGAGGTGTCAATGCATCAATAGCACTATCAATGGAGAGAACCAATATTTTCTCTCTCTTCTGTTTCAGTCAGTCTTCAGCACAATCTCATCAGGCACATGCTGTGAAAGTGGACTGTTCTTATAGTCCCTTGATTTCAAAACATACATTGGTTAAGCCCTCTTTATATATTCCTGTCTTTCTCTTTAGTATGCAGGCTTAAGTTTATTAATTTTTAACTTGCCCTGGGGCACTTTACCTCTTTACTTAAGGTGAACCCAAAGTGAATTTTTCATATGGACGACCCTTATTCTAGGGCTGTACTAAGGTTTGGGTAACCACTGGTATGGTACTATCAGCAGGTTTGCTATCTGCCTGTGCCAATGTCCAAAGATGACCGTGTGGAACAAAGGAAATGAGAAAAAAAAAGGTGAATAGGCTTGGCAAATAATTCTCAACAGCAATAAGAAAAAATTAGGCCTGTCATGATGCATTCATCGATGAACAGATGTCAATTTCAATAGTTGGAGGCATGGTAGTCTTCATTACTCATTGCAAAGGTCACACCTTCCCTTCACACCTCTCAATGAAGCATGAGATTATGGAAGACAGAGGTCAGCACTCCAATCAGGGCAAGAAACTATGGAAATCAAACCTGATCACGGCAAAAAAAGATTGAATCCTCCATAACACCCCCTCCCATCTCTGATGTATCGGAACAATATCAATAGTCCAGGTCATTATAATGGCAATATTGTTACTCACCCAGCACCAGTAAGTCGTGCTCCATATGCAATGCCCTTTGAGAGTTCAACCAGCTGATCCAGGCAAGGATGACTGCATTCATAGAGATCTCTGCAGCTGGTATGGCTATCAGACATTAGTTTTCCCAAGGACTTCAGGGTCTCTGTTTCCCCTACCTCCTCTTCATGATCACATGTGTTTTTGAATTCCCAGACTCTATTTGCCTCTGCAACGAACACCTTAATCATTTGATACAATGGTTCCTCATTTTGCATTTTGGGTGATCTTTTCTCCAGCTGCTAGCAGCTGCTGATGAAAAAGATGTACAGGCTAGGCACAACCACATCATTGAATGGCATCGCTGTTGGGCAAGCAGCTGCCAGCAGAACATAGCGAACTACGAGAACACCGAGGAGGTAAGCCTTAAAAATGACATCATCGAATGCTGGTAGTCTCAGCAGAGCTGCTAGCAAAAAAGACCACCCCATTTGATCTTTTCTTAGAACACAACAGGAATTATGGAGAACCCTCACCAGAAAATACATGTAGAGACCGCTGCTGCAACTTGAAGCTCTTCAATCCCTTTGTCTTCTCACTCAGACTCACTCTGTCTAGCTCTTCCATGCTAACTTCAAGAATTTGGCATATCTGTTAATACAATCCTTATGAAGTTATTTTAACAGCATGTCACACTAAAAACTAAAATTATCACACCAGAATCAACAGGCACATACTGACTTCTTGCTTTGTATATGGTTCCTTATGTAGGCTCTCCTTTACTAGGCAAAGTAGATCAGACAACTTCTTTCCTGTCAGTTTCTGCACATCATCAAGTCTTCTCACCAGTTTCCAATCAAAACCACAATGGCAAGCAATGACCTGTACAAATGAAGACCCATTGTTGGTTTGAGTTCCCCTTTTTGATTTGATTTGACTTGATTATATAGTGAACAGTATAAGCAATGCCAACATGCCTGGGCAGCAAGCCTACACTCTGCCACACGTGTGTTGTACTCAGATGTCAATGCCTTCTGCTTTTGGGAAAGGGAATTAGCCACAACAAACACAGCCTTCTTGGGCAAGGACACAGGAGTGGCTTTCAGAGGATCAAACTCTATCAACTTGGCACTGCCTAAACATAGACCATCCAAAATCGAATCAGTTATTTCAATTAAAATTAGGAATCTCAATCCTCAGCATGACAATCTATCACTGCTACAAGAATGAATGGGGATAACACCATCTTCTCACTGATCTGCACATGAAGTGTCACAATATGACTACATAACCATTCAATTTCGATTTGGTATCTTCAGAAAATATTGATATCACTCAATGCACAATGGTGACTTAACCCTTTCACCATTGAGTAACATTCAGGACCACAGCTGCGAGTGATGATGAAAAACAAATATACTTGGGAGCTGCAGTTAAACATCCACCTCTAACCCTCCCCCAACATGGATCTGCCATAGGGGAGACTGGGGTACAGTGGGTGGATGGTGCTAATTAAGCAATGTATTTTTGACCTAGAACAATTATTCTATCATGCAAAATAATTGATCAGGATAAATAAAATTTGAATATCACTGATTAATTCCACCCCTGATTTACGATCACCATCAAATCTCTCGCTGATGTGAGGGTGATATGTTGGCTTTTGATGTAGACTTACATGCCTCTCCATCTAGTTTGAGGCAACAAAAAGTCCAGTGACCCACTGTACCTCAGCCTCCCCTATATTACACATCATATGTCAAAGGGAAGGTCCAATGGTGAGAAATTAAATCTTGATGAAATTGCAGATCACTCCATTCTACTTTCTTGGGAAGGGAACATAATCTTGCTATAATATGACTCATGGTATTTCTGTGCAGTGGTAATGACAATTGAGTCAATTTTAAGAAATGCAACAGACCTGATGTAGCCAAGAAGCAAATGGCCTGATCCATCCCTCCACCCTCAGTTCCAATGTATCGTTCACACTTAGCACAAATATTTGCATAGTGAGATTTGCTCCAATTTACCTATTCCATAAGGAAAGAGGCTGGAGTCAGCCAAATGACCAGCTCAAAGTTATGGACATGTAAAAACCAGTACACATTACCCCATGGGCATGACCGGCAGCAAGCGCAGCTGCACAGACAAGGGCAGAAGAACTTGATAAACCAGCACATGGTGGAATTGTGCCATGGACCACAAACTTTAGGCCTTTCTTTTCTTTCAATCCCAGTTCAGTGTCAAGCACACCACGTATCCCACATAGGAGGTAATGATACCATGTCGGACTCTCCTTTGAAATCCTACATTTAGATTTAAAAATAGAAAAGGGCATAATTATGTTTAATTAAAGAAATTAAAATCCAATACTCCAGCACAAGCAAGCAATGGTTTTGTTTTCTCAAAATGAAAACCAACAGAATTAAAAGGATTTGTTCAAAGAGCAAGCAGTGCACAGAGTTGGAAGTGAAAAGAGGCAACTTTAAAATAATTGGCTTAACACCAGAGACCTACACCTGCTTTAATGCAAAGCCTTCAGAATGGACAACCCTTAATTTTTCCCCATCCAGTAGGCTGATGCAACTGTTCCTTTGACAGGTGTCAAATTCATATAGAGCATAAAGTAGCAGATAATTTTTCCTTTGCTTATGCTTAAGGTTAATATGAAGAAAAACCTATACACAAAGAACCACCTGCGTCCATACATATGGAAATGGGGGCTTGCAGGTATCCATCACAAGATTTATTAATTCCCACCCACCCACTAGCCATTAGAAATTCATGCCAAAATCTTGTTTAAATGGACAGGCCCAAGCCTAATTGTTAGAATACAATGTTACAGGGTCCAGAATGCACCTTCAAAGAGCAAAATTTATTTTTACATAAATAACACAAGGCACAAACAAGAAACACAGACTCTGACATTGAACTCACCCAATGTGTCTACACTGACCAAAAGTGGACTCACATCAGGTCTGTTATGCTGGAGGAGCCTGGTGCATACAGCTCATCAATGTTGTGCATCTGTATTGTGGGTTCCTCACAGACTCCCACAGCCAAAATAACATCTTGCTCTATGGCCATTGGAAAAACTGCATATCCACAGTAATCAATGTGCTCTCCTATCAGGTTCACCCTATAGAAACAAACTCTCACATAATCAATCAAGGCTCACATCTCATTAAGAAGAGTTAATCTGCATGAAACCCAATATAAATACTTCCAACAAAAGAATTTCTAGAATATTTAAATAATATTATTCTATTCTTTGCCTTCAGACTGCTTGTGCAATACTCAACCAAAAACTGACCAGAGTACTGATCCCAGCACTGTTAAATATAAGTAGATCAACTGAATTGTTACAGGCCAGATTACCTGCCTGGTGCTTGGACAAAGAAATCTGGCTTAGTTCCATACACTTCCTCGAACTTTGCTTGAGAGATGAGTAGTTTGGGAAATGCATTATCGATGAGACGAATGCTGGGAGCATCAGAAGCTTCCCCACTCATTTTTTGATACCTCACCTGAGAAGAGACAGCAATACCATAAGAAAGACAGTCTTACAACTATGAATAGCAATGGGCTGATAATAGCAAATAGTTCATGCTAAAAGAATGGAGCTTGCTCTAAGACATCTTTAAAAGTGTCATCAAAATGCAACTGTCATCACTACCTGATTCAAGCAATCAGAATGTAACTGCAAATATTAAATGAAAGTGGAATAAAAATTCAGTGTTTAGTTTCAGCTTTTGTAGGGATTCATTATCCCATTCTGAAGTTGCCTTCAGAATAGCTTTCACAAGTTCTCATTTATTGTCAAATTAAAACTCTCACAAATTCTTGGATTCAATCAATGAGAGACATTAACTTCTACAAAGCATTAAATGTGGAACCATCCATGAGACAACTTTGTCTCGACTCATGAACAATTTCATGCCAGAATTTCTCATTAAGCAAGTTATTCTGCAAAGAACTAGCAACTCTGGGCATATGCCTTGAAAGGGGAAATTAGTATGCTTATTATTCAGTGTTCTCTGGTGCTACAGCACAGAGCTTGTACCAAGGCCGATGGCACTGTTCTTTTCAGTTGATTGAAAACCTGAGTCAAGGGATTCATGCATAACCCAAGTATATTCTCCAAAATATAACTCCTCCAAGCAAGATGCAGCCAAGACAATGTCCAATGATGGATGATTGGTAACTCCGAAGCAACAAAAAAACGTGTGGATCTCTTGCATCACAGTTGTCATCCAACTGGAGGATATGATTCAGCAAATTCATTGGAAACTGGCACCACCTGCATGGCTCAAGGGATGGCTGTTTCCAAGCATGTTATAAAACAACAAAGACTACCAGGAAATGGAAGGAAGACACACACAGAAAAGAGAAGAATGAACAAAGGGCTGGGAGAATAATGAATGAGGAGAGGAGCAGAGAACAAAAATTCAAAAAAAGGGGGAGTGAAGACAGGGATGAAAAAGACTTACCACACCCTCACCCGTTAGGATCTGGTAGCAGGCATCTCAACACCTTTGGAGATAACACCCATAAAATACTCCATTTGAGCATAAACCTGTAGCAAATCTATGGAAATATAAATCATGTGGACTGAATGGAAGATCTTGGAAGCTTGAAATTGGCATCACTTTTGGAGGTTTGAAATTAGCCAGACTCAGCCACTCAATAAGAATACTCCATACTGGTAGGTGAAGGATCAATCATCAGATTCAGCATATTGGCCCATTCTCAGACATAGCCTTTACTGGCTGCCATTTCCTGATATTAGTTAATGATAAATACAGTCATACTTGCAGAAATATTGCCAATATTATGAGGTAAAAAAAAAAAAGTGTTTCATGAGCATGAACATTTAAAATGAGTTTTATGGCCAGGTGAGCCAAGCAGAATATGATAGAAAACTATATGCATTTTGAGGCAACAGCCTCTTCCTTTATTTTTTTATTTAAATTGTCCAAGCTCCACTAAAATCTTCTTCCCTGAAGGAAACACAAGGAGAAGAGCAGACACTTCTGCTCTGGAGCAACTCATCAGTACTAATAGCAGCAATGGTGGATAGTGGTGATGATTGGAGACCCCATGCCATTTCCTATCCTTCCAACTGTTTTGCAACAGCTCTTACCTTAACAACAGCCTGCTATCTTTGGTTAGAGTCCCATCAAAAGGCTTACATTTAAACCCATATAATCCTATTAACATCAGTTGTTGTCCAATATTTACCCTGCTGATAACAAGGAGAGACCTAGACCAATATATTGGTTATCGTTCACCAGCCAGTATCTATGCCCAGTCATCAATTTCATGAACACCAAACCAAAGGTTTCATGAATTTGAATCTGTACTGTACGTAAAATCAACAGGCATAACAATATATTACAAGAATGCAGTGCTCTATTTTGCACCACAGAATTAACTATGCTGTGGGGTTCTTTAAGCATCCAAGGTCTTCAATCATATCAAGAAAATGTTCATTCAGGTGGATACAACTGAATCTTGGAACTTCTGAGTTTCCACTATGATTTGTGCAACTCATAAAGTTAGCACAAAAATGAGTTCAGAGCAAGCTCACAGTGTGCTATCAAGTAAGTGAGCTATAGTTTGAGCTGCTCAGCTCAGCTACATGAATGAGAACATGTTCCAAGATCCAGATAAATGGAACTAGGAATGAAAGAGGGATGAAAAGATGGAAATACTTCTTCACAATCAATGAGGGGCCTCCTTAGATTTCTGAAGCTTGATTCGTCTCTTGAAATGTTGGAATGAGCATAGGACCTCACCACATTTGCCTTCAAGCAACAACTCCTTTGGGCACAGAGGAACCATGGGGTTCAGCCTGCAAGAGATGTGCCCGGCCAGGACGACAGGGGCGAACCCAAAAACTAAAGCAATTGTACACTCACCATCCCAATCTGCCAATATAAACTGATAATGTGAATGAGGGTATTCAAAAAGTTTTGGCAACCCAGTAATGAAAGAAAAAGAAAACACCTGAGGAACACCTTCATTGCATCCTTCACATATAGGATCGACAATCCTCCTCTCTAAATGCACAATTATAGCAAATTCATTCATTTCTCAAAGGCACCACTGGTGCTCTTGGCATGCATTCCAATTCAGAATTTTCAACTATATAAAAGACTAGTGGGTGATCAAAAAGCTTTCCTTTTGTGGCTTCCATCAACTTGGAAAATGCCCAACAGTCACATTCAGCAAGGTGTGAATTGTGACAGGGATGTGCCAAAAGTGTGATCTTTCTTTCCTGGAGGATGGTAATAACATAGTTTAACTAGTTAGTTAATTAGATTGTTTCATGACAAGAGGCGTAGTCGCTGTAGAGTTGGATCCTGTCTGGAGGTTTAATGTTTACAAGTTTTATGTTTAGACTATAAGCTAGAGACAGAGCCACGTTGGAGTTATTTCTTATTGAGATGAGACATGACAACTGCAACTGGGTCAAATTGCAAGAAGTTTCTGGTAAGTCCCACATTTAAGAAATGCTTGCAATATTGGGTATCAGTGTGTTCTCAATTCAGAAAAAAAGATAACTGCATGTACAGGGTGGGCCAAAAAATATTGGGTTAGAAAGAAAGTCTTGCAACACTTTCTAAAACTATTTATAAAAATGTTCAAAAGGAATGATGGGCGGGGCATTGCATGTGTATATGCTGGAATGTTCTCGAAGCTTCTGCTATTAGTTGGCAGCCATGGCTCCGATCGAACGAGCAACTCTTCGCCCCATTGTCTACTATGAGTTCCTCCAAGGACACTCTGTGAGAGCCGCCGCGGACAACATCTGTGCTGCATTTGAGGGCAACATCGTTCACTATTCCACAGTGTCTCGATGGTTGAAACGCTTGGAATCTGGCGACACGGCCTTCGGAGATAGACCACGCTCAGGACGTCCATCTGCAGTCGATGACGAAGCCCTGCGGAATGCCCTCGACACGAAGCCAAACACCACCACTCGCGAATCGGCGACTACACTTGGAGTCACCCATATGGCCATTGGCAACCATCTGAACGACCTCGGCTATTGGAAGGTTTACTCGACATGGGTCCCTCATCGGCTCGGCAACTCTGACAAAGCAAGTCGTGTCAGTGTCTGCGAATCACTGCTCCTTCGTCCAATCTGAACGACCTCGGCTATCGGAAGGTTTACTCGACACGGGTCCCTCATCGGCTCGGCAACTCTGACAAAGCAAGTCGTGTCAGTGTCTGCAAATCACTGCTCCTTCGTCTGCACAGAAAGGACCTTCTGAAGGAAATCATTACTGGAGATGAGAGCTGGGTCCTCTACGTCGACCATACTCGCAAGAGTCAGTGGCTTCCACGAAGAGAATTGCCGCCAAAAGAACCGAAACCAGGGTTCCATGAGAAGAAGGTTCTTCTCTGCTGTTGGTGGGATTCAGAAAGAATGTTGTACAATGAGTTCCTGCCAACCGGTACCACCGTGACTGCCATCGTCTACGCTGCTCAACTTCAGAAGTTGGCTGGCATCATTCAAAAGGAGCGTCCCAAATGCGACAAAGTCCTCCTGCATGACAACGCTCGTCCACATGTTGCGAAGATGACTCGCCAGACGATTTCAGAACTGGGCTGGGAAGTTTTACCCCATCCAGCATATTCTCCGGACTTGGCCCCTTCCTACTATCACTTGTTCCGGGCCCTCAAGAATCACCTGCGGGATGAGGCCTTCGACAATTGAGCACAGCTCGAAAATGATGTTGGCCGTTTCTTCGCTTTGCAATCGCCAGAGTTCTGGGCAAAGGGCATCGAGCAGTTACCATCATTCAAAAAGAGCGTCCCAAACGCGACAAAGTGCTCCTGCATGACAACGCTCGTCAACATGTTGCGAAGATGACTCACCAGACGATTTCAGAACTGGGATGGGAAGTTTTACCCCATCCAGCATATTCTCTGGACTTGGCCCCTTCCTACTATCACTTGTTCCGGGCCCTCAAGAATCACCTGCGGGACGAGGCCTTCCGACGACCATTTGTTTGCTTTTGATTCAATATTCATAATCATATTAGGTCAATTTTTTTTGGTTAATTTCAATATATTCCAAATGCAAATTTCAATTACAGGCCATATGATTTTTCTGCATGTCACCTAATTTATAAATTAATCCCTAAAAGATTTAAAAAATCAGTAATTCAGAATTTCTACTCTGAAGAATACTTCATAACTGTCAACTTAGATGAAAAACATAATGGAACAGTTGTTACCCAGAGCATTGAAAGGTATGCCTCTCTACATTCTACTATGGACAGATAATGATGATACTAGTTTCTTTTGTGAGGAACTTGGAAGTAACACAAGCATTACACAGCTCCAGTCTTGAGACAAGCCCACATCAAGCATGAAGCTTAGCATAGGACTGCTTAACTTGTCACATGTTATGTTGATTATGTTGATATTATGTTGTTGAGAGTTTATTCAGGCATTAGAGAGTAGGCAGATCTTTGGACACCACAAAGGTTGACAACTCTGGTCTCTAGGGCAAGACAAATGACCTTGCAGAAGTCATTGTCATTGTCTTCCTCTTTGCATCAGGTATATCTAAAAGAGGAGTGCATCAGTGCTGCCAGAATTTTTTCCATCAAGATGATTAGAAAATATGACAGAGGGTGACATGCATCAAATCATTTAAGCCTAAGAATTATACATTAAAAAACTCTTGAATATTTACGGGCAGTATGTAATACAAATTTTCCCACTGGCAAAAGAAGGCCACCACAGCTCAACAAGTCAACAACACTAGCACAATTCTGAGCTACCAAATTCCCCTGGCAGGTCAACTCAATTTGCCTGCCTGAGGACATGGATAATCCTCATCAGCTGTCTCTCTTCTCTTCATTCTTGTCAGTCTCACAAAGGACAGGATAAAATTGTCCTTAATGGCAGCCAGTGTTCTTATCTCTAACCTGCTCTCCAATGCTGGGATGAACTAAACTCCTCACACACTGTAGGCTACTTCCATGAAGCTATGATGCTCTTTTGCTGTGTTATGAAGCTGGAGCAAACAAGCCATCAATTCCAGAGAGAAAATTGATCACATTTGGGTCAAGGACCTCTCCAGCATCATGTGGCTGCTACTGCCAGTCTCTGCAACTCTTCTTAGAGCAAATATGGTGCCTACCTGGCACAGATCTTCATTGCTTTTTTACTGACAGAGGTGGCAAACTTTCTTTCCACTGACAAAGGGCACTGGGTGGGATTCTTGAACTCGACAATGACCACCTTTATGCGACTTGGTCACCTGAATAACACTGCTGCAAGGAAAGCTATCCTCCAGTGCATGATTCAAATCATAGTGAATTTTATTATTCCCTTGCAGTTGAATGCCAAGCCAGGCAAAGGATCTTCATTGTGTGGGGGTAATGAGCAGAGGCAAAATTCATGTCCTTCATACCAGTAAAAGGGAACAACCCAAATGATATGCAAATTTTACATGTTCACCTGGTGAGTTAGTTGCCAAAACTTATTGGATCCCTCTTGTGACACTCCTACAATGGTTCCAGAAAAGAGAATTATTCATTGTGATATTTTTTTAAGCTGATGAATCTACAAATATGTCATGAGATGTTCACTTATTTTTTTCTGCCATCCATCTCATCTGCACTAATTTTTAGATAGTTCCTGCATATCTACCATCCTACACATCTAACAATNTAACACAAGCACTACACAGCTCCAGTTTTGAGACAAGCCCACATCAAGCATGAAGCGTAGCATAGGACTGCTTAACTTGTCACATGTTATGTTGATACAGTTTATTCAGGCATTAGAGAGTAGGCAGATCTTTGGACACCACAAAGGTTGACAACTCTGGTCTCCAGGGCAAGACAAATGACCTTGCAGAAGTCATTGTCATTGTCTTCCTCTTTGCATCAGGTATATCTAAAAGAGGAGTGCATCAGTGCTGCCAGAATTTTTTCCATCAAGATGATTAGAAAATATGACAGAGGGTGACATGCATCAAATCATTTAAGCTTAAGAATTATACATTAAAAAACTCTTGAATATTTATGGGCAGGATGTAATACAAATTTTCCCACTGGCAAAAGAAGGCCACCACAGCTCAACAAGTCAACAACACTAGCACAATTCTGAGCTACCAAATTTCCCTGGCAGGTCAACTCAATTTGCCTGCCTGAGGACATGGATAATCATCAGCTGTCTCTCTTCTCTTCATTCTTGTCAGTCTCACAAAGGACAGGATAAATTGTCCTTAATGGCAGCCAGTGTTCTTATCTCTAACCTGCTCTCCAATGCTGGGATGAACTAAACTCCTCACATACTGTAGGCTACTTCCATGAAGCTATGATGCTCTTTTGCTGTGTTATGAAGCTGGAGCAAACAAGCCATCAATTCCAGAGAGAAAATTGATCACATTTGGGTCAAGGTGGAGAGGTCGTAGTACACCGACGATGACGGTCAGAGACGTTGAGAAGAATCTCGTTTATACCACGGATGGACCGTGTCTAGAAGTAACGAAAAAATGACTGTCTCCACCGTTTGAAAGAAAGGTGACACAAAGGGCACTGGATGGGATTCTTGAACTCGACAATGACCACCTTTATGCGACTTGGTCAACTGAATAACACTGCTGCAAGGAAAGCTATCCTCCAGTGCATGATTCAAATCATAGTGAATTTTATTATTCCCTTGCAGTTGAATGCCAAGCCAGGCAAAGGATCTTCATTGTGTGGGGGTAATGAGCAGAGGCAAAATTCATGTCCTTCATACCAGTAAAAGGGAACAACCCAAATGATATGCAAATTTTACATGTTCACCTGGTGAGTTAGTTGCCAAAACTTATTGGATCCCTCTTGTGACACTCCTACAATGGTTCCAGAAAAGAGAATTATTCATTGTGATATTTTTTTAAGCTGATGAATCTACAAATATGTCATGAGATGTTCACTTATTTTTTTCTGCCATCCATCTCATCTGCACTAATTTTTAGATAGTTCCTGCATATCTACCATCCTACACATCTAACAATGGCTTATTTCTGATTTTGGCAAGAAAACAGACTCACCAGAGATACTTTTGGCCAGGAATTGGTGATGAGTATGGTTCATGACCTGAAGTGACCAGAGGTATATGAATATATTGCACTGACTTACTGTCACTTTGTGCTATCACTGAACTATAAAGAGTTGTCTCATTCTGGGAGTAATTTTGATTAGATTGATCACTGGACTCCTGTTTTGCCTCAACCTCTAGCACAACTAGAGAGGATTGCTTCTCATTGTTTTTTGGAGCATCACAGCTTTCAACACATAGGCCTATCTTGCTCGAAGTTTGTGGGCATAGAGAAATGGAAGCATCTTGAGACCCAAGTCCACCTTTTGCATTCTCACCATGAGCATACTGAGTAGGCTGGTCACCTCTTGCATCACAGCCCAATTCCGGAAATTTGTCTAGACGATGCTGATCCAGTTGCCTACCATCCTGTGAGGTGGCTTGATTTACTTCTTGCCCACTTGTTTCAGCTATCACAACAGGCACTTTCTTCACAGACTTATTCCCAGCTGGATTGACGATAGATTGAGCTTGTGCTTCTGCAGTTACTGCTGACTTTAGTGCTGGGACTCGATAGCGAGGTCCAATCATTTTTTGCCCAAGACGAAGGCATATCTTGCCCAGCACACGGATCTGCTGCTGACTGGCTCTCAGCTGCATCTGCTTGTGCTTCATTTTAATACTGATGGTATCCAAATGCTTTCTCTTGGTCACCAAACGCCCATTCATCTCCAACAATTGCTTTTTTAGAGATTCAGCTTCCTGCTCCAACTGCTTCAATGACTGTTGTTCAGCTTCTGCATCATCCAACACTCTCCGCATGCTCTTGCGCTCCAATTCATAGAGGTTCCTGGAAGGTGAAAAAGGAGTCCCTAGGAGAAAAGGCCTAAGGGCAGCTGATAGCTTCAAAAACAAGGTAAATCCATGCATTACCTGATTGCTTGCAGACGAGTCTCACTTTCAACCAAATTCTTCATATTTGCTTCGGAATTACCTAATGACTCATTCTTCAAAACAGGATTGCCACGAGCAGTAACTTCAGCTAGTTTTCCACTGCCCAATGGACCAGGTTTTGAGGAATTGATAAGTCTAACTGAAGACAACAAACCTGGACTTGCAACCATATGAGGCTCCTTCACTTGACATTTAGGCAATTCAGTTGATGACGTTCTTTTCAACACAATTTTTCTCGAGATCCCTGGCTTCACTTGAGTGGTTGACACTTCCTTCACTTCAGAATCACTTGCTGGCTTGCTAATGTCCTTCTGACTCTTACCTAGGATGTGGGCAGCATCAGGTGATGGTGTTCTTGCTTGCCCTGCCTGTCTTTCCAGCATCCTCCTCTTCATTTCCAACAGTTGATCCCTCAGCTTCCTTTCCTCTGTGGCACTGTCGCTGTCATTGCTCTTTGTCATGGTCTTCGTGCTATCTGGATTTGTCGAGTCACCAGACACAGCACTTGCAACAGAGGTATTTTGTGTAGTCATCTTCTTCCGTTCCTGTTCTCGTTTCAGTATTTCCATTTTCAGTCGTCGATACTCTTTAACTTGAGCTGGAGGGAGGACCTGGATGGCTTCAGGAGTGTTAGAAACACGAGATGGCTTCTGATGTTTTTGAAGAGGACTGACCACTCGTTGCTTCTGTGTGTTCCCTCCTCGCAAAACCACTTTCCCATTCCCAAGGTCACACATTATGGTTTTAGGACCAAGTGATGATAAGCTTTTTTCTCCTTTTTCTGGCAACACTGTTGTTTTTTTGCTGCTCTCTTCTTTTGCCTTTTCAATCAAGGACTTAATAGATGCAATGGCCATCTCCTCTGACTTCCCATCCTTTGGTCTTTTACATGGCACACTTGTTTCATCATTAAACAAGACTTCTTTGACAAATGGCACACTTTCTTCATTAGCAGGAGGGTTACTGTCATGTGGGAAGAGAGATTCTTGATTATCTTCCTCACCTTCACTGCTGTCAGAGTCATCAGCTAGGTTGATGATGATTCTTTCCATCTTTCTCTGTTGAAGCACTAGCTTTTGTGCCTTTAACTGGTCATTCTTAACAGTGATGCTGAAATTCATCTTATTTGGAAAGGATGGTGTGTTTTGCTTCTTAGGTTTCACAGATACAGGTTTTGCTTGTTCTGATGCAGATGATTGCCACTTTTTGGCCACTTCGCACAGGAGCCGAGCTCGAAGAAGTTCCTCATCCTCTTCAAGGTCACTCTCCTCTTTTCCCCCATCAACAACATTGTCTTTATCATCATCACTGGATCCCAAATCCATTGGGATTGGCTCTGTATTACTTCCCAAATCAGAAACATTTGATGAAGCAGCACTCATATCACCTGCATTAGCCTTTGGATCTCCCAAGTCCCCAAACATGGGCTCTTTGAACACTTCTTCCACAACCTTTGCATCTCTCACATCATCTTCCAACAGCCTTGAAGCACTTGGTAACCAGGGAGAATTTTGGGATGATGTATTGACTGGCATTTTAGAATTACCAAATGAACCATTCTTGCCAGGTGCATCTGAATTATGCTTTCTTGCAGTAGAAGTTCTCCGTCTACGGGAAATGTTCCCACTTTGACTTCCAAGTTGTGATGAAGATGCCCTACTAACATTCCGGTCATGGGAAGGCCTGGACAGAGATGAAACTGAAGGTCTCCTTGGACTCCTCTCCCGCCTCCTTGCAGAGGAATTGAGGTTAAAACACTTTGCCATTGCAATTTATAGAAAATGAATACAACATGGACATGGACACTTTCAAAGGGGGAGGTAGCAGAAAAAAGCAGCACAATACCTAGATTTTTTATGACGATGTTGAGATGAATCCTTATTCCAGCCAGATCGTCTGTCATTTTCTAAAGATGAGCCAAGACTTCTTGGAGTTTCTCTTTGGTTCCTAGAGCTTTCTTTTGAGTTGTGTCTCAGCCTTCTTGCCTCCTTAGATTGAGCCTTCATTCGACTGCCTCTCATTTCTTTCTTACCCTTATCAAAACTATTAGGATGCAAAGTTTGATCATGTTGCAGTTTTTCTTTCTGCAGATTCTTAGAATCCTCATTTTGGGTACGGAGGACAGACTGCAATGCCATATATCGCAGTCTCAACTCTTCTTCTTCCTCTTCATCTAGTGCCTGTGATCCAAAGCTAAGAAGTCCTGGATCAATGTCTAATGGAGAATATTCATCACCACCTTCTTCAGGGGGCCAGGGGCTGGTATTGTGGGAGTCAAGGCTCCAAATCATTTCATCCAGTACTGCTCCTTCTTGTTGGGTGATGTTATCTTGTTGGCTGAGCTCACCCTCCTCTGCAAGCATATATCCATGCATACTACCTATGTATAATCTATGAAATGGGCATCTCCTCCAAATGAGATGGAGCCACTACATGAAACTTGTAAGTGCCAAAACACATAAACTAACAAAACTGCTTTTCCTTGGCTTTACCAATGGAATCCATTCTCACACCACAACTTATGTAATGTATCTGATATTCTCAATAAAATTTACTGCTGGAGAGATGGATGATCATGCTAAGCCAAAGAAATACAAGAACAAAAAAAAAGAATGAATTGGTAAATAATCAGTCAAAGAATAGACTACAAATTTCCTTAGAATGCCATTTAAATTCAAATTTGGAACTTAATCTTCTGCAAGAGAGAACCCAAGACACCCACTTTCTCTGTGGTTCAATTTTTTTTACTAATTGGTCTTCCCATGCCTGAGATAAAAAAAGGGTTGCTTTTGAAGCCATGACACACCCTACTCTATTTAACTTACACATAAGGATGCAGAAACTTAAAATCATAAGTCCCCCCACACCATTTTTATGAACTGGCCTGCAATGTACCCTGCAAACTTATTTGGCAAAAATAACTTTTTAACTCCAAACTTTTACAATGACTAATATCTAAATTTTTTATTTCTTCTTATCCAAACAAATACACCAAGCCTTCACTTTCCAGAAATAATCATGCCTGAAAAATCCAGTCTTTTCATAGGCTTGAATCCTCAAGATAAGAAGTCAGGCTGAATAATAAAAATTCCAAATCATACTAGGCATAATGCATACCAGGATATATATTGATGTCATCTAGGACTTCTCCTTCTTCGGGTGTTTCCCTCCCTTGAACATCCATGACTACAACCACCATTGAGGCTATGGACAGAAAAGCCTCTGATGCCCCTCAATGACCAGTGGCAAGTCTGGGCCTCTAGTTTATAGTTCATGTATTCTTTCAGGATGCCATGGAGTAACAGCTTTTGACAATCCCCACCTGCTGCTGCCTTTCCATCATTAGCCTAAGCCCTGAAATCTGAAAAAAGTTATTTAGGGGAAAAAAAAAAAGTGAAGGAAATGTGTGCTTCTTTGAATGGAGCATCCTGAAACCATAACATAAACTATAACATAGCCAAGTGAATAGGTAAAAGGACATCTGGGTTGAGCCAAACATGGATAGTCTGTGACAACAAGCAAATCACACACTCCTCTATTTATAAACACCAAAAGCTTTCATAGCAGCTAAATTTGCAGCTTCATAATTCCTGTAAACAAATGAGTCAATAGTCAAACTATGTGGAATTAAGTCAGCTGAAACAGGTGAAAATGTAACAAGAATGTAAGTGAAAGACTGACAGCAGCCCTTTGCAGCATAGAAATTACAAGGAATTAGGCAATGCCATGAACCAAAAATAAGAATGCAGTCAATTTAGATCTCCAGCATTTCCATAGTGAATATGGACAACATGAACTAACTTATTGCTTTGTATAGCAAATGTCCCCGTTTCCCCATTGGTAACTGACCTTGGTGCATTGAAAGGAGCTCTGGCTCCTCCCATACCTTAACAGCAAAGATACAGAGATCATCTGATTTCTAGAAATAAACTGGTATGTTGATTTTTATTTTATATTTATCACAATGTCAACTATAAGGACCAAGACCACCTACTGATAGATTTGCAGACAATAAATCTACAATGCTCATGAAACCAGCAACAGGTTCTTCATACCAGTCAAGACTAATCCATGCTGGGAAAAAAAAATATATATTCCATAAGGTTCCATCACTAACACCAAGTAGGACTTAACAATCTTGATGGAGTTCTATATCTGCAGCAAACATGCCATTAGGTCTGGCACCTCTGGAAATTATTAAGAAACTCTGCTGACATTACCCTGCAAGTTGTAACATATCATGTCAGCATACAAAAGTTGTGGTGAGACACAGGGCTTACATCACACGATGACTTTCATGAAGACCACATGGAGATTAATATTTAAATTTGCATATACTTCAAATGCAAATAAATATGAAGGACTTGGTGTAAGATAGTGCTATGCCAAGGCCTTATCAAAACTAAGTCATTTCTGAAAACCATATCTTCCACCACGTTTCATATGCACTTGAAAATTTTTACATTAATTCAAAATGGATGACTTAAAATATTTCACCCTCCATCTTACATTGATTTATGAATTTCTCAAACTTGAACATCACTTTTCTGAATAAATACTTTAGGGTATATACTATCTCACACCATGACTTCTAAATATTCAGACTTGAGTGCAAACCATGTAGTCACCCATCGTAACAAACTATAACGTGCTCGTGACAAGAAATAGACGTGCCACGTAGGCTCCAAATCTCTATATGAAGCCCTATCTCTCTATTGTCAGAAATGTTCTACTTTGAAAATTTTCAACAGATAGAACAGATGGTTTATGTAGATGGGCCTAGTTGAATATCTACATGAAAAAACTCTATATAGGAGTTCTTTCATGCAAATATTCAAACTTCCTCTTTCCTATGGCTGGTCCAAGTGCACATTTCCAGGCAAAATTCCCACATCAGGCAATCATCTATAAGGAAAGATAAAAATCAAACCAAGAAATGTGAATCTCTTATGCAAAGATCCTTCACTAGAGACATCAATAAGGGAAACATAAACATGTGTAATTCAGTCAGGGCAAATCAGAATGAACACTCATTCAAATGGAGGATAACCCACTCCATTCTTGCCATGGTGATTTTTAGAACATTCATAGCATCATTAGAATTTAAGAATTACCTTAGATAGCACAATACCCATGAAAATTTAGAAAAGGTGGAACAACTAGACATGGAGACAAGTAGAAATGTCTCCTAGGGACATCTTTCAGGTTCTGTTTAAGACTCCCTATATTTGATTCCAAGCAAATGGTATCCAGGACTGATCTACAGATCAGAATGGAAACTCATCAAAATAACATGATGTATGTTTAATTGCATTTTTCATTCTGGTGCAACACATTGTTCAATGTCATAAAAAATATCACCAGTGAAAAAAAGAATCCAATTCGTGCTCTCATTCAGTTTCCATCTCTCATGAAAGCTTCAAAACCTTTTCTTCCAAGAAACCTTGGCAAAAAAAACCACTCCAATGTCCTCTCCAACTGATAATCCACACAAGGAAGAAAAATAGGAACAACATAAAAGTGGAGAACAACTAATGACAAGTGGATTTGGGTGGGCATTTCCATAGTATGCTCACTGCTCAGCTTGAAAGAACCAGAAAACTAGAAATAACCTATTAACCATTAACCCTCATAAAATTTCCATCATGAGATTTGAAAACCAGGTACTTTGTCTGCATATTTCCATCAAATATGATACAAGTTCTTCATGCACAGAGAAAAGACACAGCTGACTAACAAGGATAGACAATCACAATCATCCAAGTCCTAACTGCCATGGATTGTGGAAACTTTTTTGAGAACATTCAGTTCCTCTTCAGCATGAAAAGTAATAGCTGCATATGACTTCTGCATATGATTTACTTTTAAAGATGGAACTCTCAAGCTCCCTTTCTGATCAATGAAGCATACTAATTGCTTCAAAGACTGGATCTTCATGAAATGCTTCAAGATCTTTAAGGGAAACACCCTCAATTGAAACCAAATGGGAAAACTGCTTGCAAAAGGAGTGTTGTGAGTGCAGAATTCAATGACAATAAGAATTCATAATTAAAAAATGAATGAATACTTAAAAAAAAAAAATTAAGAGAAATGAAAGATAAAAGAGCCAATAACACCTGGCACATTCACTACCGGTACTTATACTGCAAGGACAAAAATAAATACTGCTGATCAGTAAAAAGGAAACAAAAAAAATAGTCATAAGAACAATCGTGACAGCTTTGTTCCAGTACTGGCACCAACTTGCATATTCTTACTGACAAAAGAAAAGGTCTAATATGTTCATTATGTGCTTCTGAAATCTTCACATAAGGCATCACTTTTATGCAGGAAAATACAAGATTCAAAGTAAAACAATGATAAAAGCACAGATTAATTTTTGTTCGAATAAGATAGGCCTACAGAAAGCCACAGAAGTTTGCACATATTGGCCATAACATGCAATTCGTTCAAAAATGGAAGCACCAGTTCCAACTTTCATTCAGGGAGCAGAACTCAGGAACTAGTTCAACACATCCCCATCTCAAGACTGCATTGATTGATCACACAAAACAAAGCCACACTTTCTTTTTGCCAAGGGGAAATTAATTCAAAAGACTTTTTATGATTGCATCCATAGTTAAAGCATGCCATAACAAGAAATGCATAGTAATCAATGTGCATCATATTGTGGAACAGGAAGCACAGAATTTTGCAAAGGCTGCAATGTGCAAAAGATATCAGTATTTCCATACAAAAATGATCGACAATGACTGCAGTTATTAATTCTGAATTGTTCTGAACATGACTAGGATTCTTGCACTGCCATCTCAGGTGGAGAATGCCAGGAGAGAAATTACATGAGCATGAGAATCTTCTACACACTCACTAGAAACCTACCATGTAGCCCTGAAAATACTTTTGAATTCAGTAAGTTGCTAGTGAATGGTGGCACCTTGTGATCAACAAGTAAATCCATGCTGGTGATGAAAACAGGCACTTCTTATTCACACCACTAAAGTACCGGTAACAGATTTTTCCCATTCACGAAACAAGAAGGATGAGGTGAATTCCAGGATGCCCTACCATACCCTAGCAATGATTTAGATTCATGCTGCAGGCAGCAATACAGGGAAATTTTTATGGCAGAAACAAACTATTTAGCCTGATCAACAGTATCCTCATTGGCAGCTACATATGAACCTACAACTATTGACTGCTACATGGACACTGCAGAGTTAGCCTCCATCAATAATGGAATGCTCTGAGTGAGGCATGAGCCTCCGAAAGCACAAAATAAAATTTTGAGAAATGGGTGACATATGTACACCTCACCTTCAGTTGAGCCTTCTCCATGCATGTGCCAGAAGAGAAATGAAAGACATGACCAATGCCAAGGAGACCAGCCACACCAATAGCAACTGGAACTGCTGGACTTGATTATTGTCAGCATCTGTAAATGTGATGAGCTCCAACACATATGATGAAAGTCCAGTATCATCAATCTGATCACTAAATTGTATGACGAATATCTTTCAAAGATCCAGTCTTGAATCACTATCAAGGGCGATGGAAGCGAGTGAGATGTCTGCTTTCATCATGAACTTCCATTTCACTGCTTTTGTACTCATTGAGTTCCTTTCGAATTGCTGCTTTATCCTTTGGTGTAAGTCTTGTCCAGGGTTTGTCCCCTCGTCTATCATAGTCCTGGGCTTGAGTCACTTCAATGTAGTCATTAAACCGGATGATCTTCCTTTCCCTTAACTCCTCAATGGTTGGCCGGAAGCTCAGTTTGCGGAGAAGAGTTTTCTTCTTCTGCTCTTTCTGTCGCTGCTCTTCCTCGGGACTTAAACGCTTCAGAATGTTACGCTGCTCCAGTTCCTCTGCAGTGGGCCGCAGGGTCAACCGTCGTCCAAGCTTGGCACCAATCTCCTCTTTAGTCTCTTGTCTTTCCCTCTCAGATACATCATGAAGGATGTTTCTCTCAATAAGAGCTTGCTTATCTGGTCTCAAAGCAAGCTTGATGGCCAGTGAATCTTTTCTAGCTATCTTGGTTGCAAGCCAATTATCATCTTTGTATAGAATGGGTCCATCCTCCTCTTCATCACTCTCATCAAAATCATTGTACCCAGGGATGGTGATCATCGGAGGTGGCTTATAACTTTCATTCTTGTGTGAAGCCTGGATCCTTACCCTGCCACCAACAGCAGGACTACCTCTGTTGCTTCTGTTACCTCCTCGGGAGGCAGGGGATGCATTGCCTGGGACAGGGCTAGCTGACATGTCTGGTTTCTTCTTCAAAGCAGGTTTCAATGGCTTGATGTCATACCGGGGCTCCTTTGCAGGGACCTCTTCCACTCTAGTGGTGTCTAGGCGAGTCTGCAACTCCTGAATCTCACTGTCATCCTCCACATTATATTCATGCATGTCTTCTGTATCTGATTCTTGGGAGGAATCATCCTCATAAATCCCATCTGGTTGACTATTAGAGAAGGTGCAAATTTCTCTATAGGCCTGGAACTGTGGGGAGGAGTAGCTATTCCCTGGTGCTGAAACAGGGGGTAACTGGAAGCCCATGTTACGCACAGGAGGAGTGGGCTTCTGGCGTGAAGAAAGCACAGGAGATGAGAACATGGGGGGAGGTGGAATAGGTCCTATTTCTGAAACAGCAATTGGGGGTTCTGGCAGCTGAGACAATGTGAGCATAGGTGCAGCTGACACAGGAGGTTGAGTAGAAGGTTGCATAAGTGGTTGCTGTGTTGGTTGATTCAGGATTCCAGAATTCTTGAGCAACTCATTTTCCTGATGCGTGCGATTATGAGGAGATGCACGATCCTCTGCTGGTGAGTGTGTTCCCCTTGAATCTGACAGCCTCATGCCAGGCAAAGGAATGGGAAGGTTATTTGGCCGCCACTGGACCTGACGCTGGAGTGCAGGTGGTAGATGATTAAAGTGTGGTGAACCAGTGCTGACATTTGGCATGGGAGGGGGATCATACGGAGGGGGAGGTTGCTTAGGAACGTCAACAGAGGTTGGAGGTGGGTGAAATGTCGAGTGAGATGGGAGTGGTGAGGAAGCAAAGGTTGCACTCACAGTCTCTGGCATTTCTATGCGTGCACATACCGAAGTGCCATTTAGAGACATGGGCACACCCAATCCCTGGGTGCTCATCACAGGGTCACAGCTGGTAGATGGTACCGGTACACCATTCTCGGTAACAGAGTCATTCCCCTCTGAGGGGATGGGGAGGAGAATCCCTCTCTTGACGAGTTCATCTCGATCTACCCGTACGGATATCTTCCGTTCAAGAGTACGAGAAGTGGCTTTGAACTTATCAGATTTCTTCTTCCTACGCCACTTCCAGGGTCGGAAAATGATGTGCCAAGGATGAAAACGGCTTCTTCTCCCAATTGTTGGTGACTTCAAGACAGCACGATGATGAACAGGACATAGAGAAGAACCATTTTGTTTTTTCTCTTGTGTGTCCGTACACTTGATATCATCCTTCATTAATTCATGCCCATCTCCAGCAGCATGTTCTGCTGCCAATTCCTGCAGCTCAGCCATGGAGAATCCGTGCTATAGCACCTTCATGGCTCTAATATGGGAAAGGATCCCCACAAATTATCAAGATCCCCTCACTGACACAGTCACAAAAATGGTAAAATCCTTGCACATGGTGCATATGGTATGAAATACTTGTCAATGCATCTGGAAGAGTAAGATATATCAATGATGCAGAGAATCCAATGAAAATCTTTTTAAAAAATCAATGCCAACAACTCAAGCTCACTCAGGACGTGAGAGCCAAGTAACTGTTTAAAAATCAGGTGAGGCCTCATTTATTCAGAATGCTATAAGGATTAACCCCTTCACTACCACTTTTTAAATGAAGTGACCACTCCTCCCAGAAAGGTTTCTTTTTTTTTTTTCAAAAATCAAGTTAACATTTTCAATGTTAACTTGATTTTTTAATTATTTTCAATAAGAACATAATAATTAAACAATTTCTTATTTCATAGGAACTATAATTATTTTATTCTCTGGTGCAAAATTCAAATGTTTTCCATGTACAATAAGCATACCTGAGCATGGCATGGCAATCACAAATCTGAAAAAGAGTATTCCTGGGTTTGGTGGTGCAGACCTGTCCATGAATATACTCAGGCACAGCAGGGAAATGGTTGAGGTCACAGCAAAAGCAATATACAGTATGTTCCATTTAAAACACAACCCAACAACAAGCATGTACTATGATACAAAAAATGAAGTCTTGTCTTGTCTCGACTTCAAGAAGGTGGTGGACATTTTCAGCATCTGTGGTGAAGCTGTTCTGTACGTTCTTGCAATATTCTTCCTAAAAAATAAAAACTATCAAACAACTCATTTGTTTTATTGCTGTTGTACTTAGGGTTGCATTTTAAATGGAACACCCTGTATATCCAATATCTAAACATCAATAATTACCATTATCTGAGCATGCCTTATAAATGACTTCATGCTCTATGATAAGACATATAGTGTAGAGTCACTACTATTAAATGTGTTACCCCACAAGATAAAGCCTGAAAAATATTATTAGGCCTATTGGCTGAAAACTGAAGTCTTGAATACCCTTACATTTAGTTACATCTTTCAGGTCCTTTGGCAGCTAATCCCAAGCCGTTTTAATTTGCTGAATTTATGATAAAGAAATACATTGTAGACATTGAAGAAATAGAGGAATAAAATGAAATAACATCACAACAGGTTCAGAGAGACATAAAATGAGAAAATACCAAAATTTAGAGGTACTTGCATATGGTGTCACAACTTGGCTAAATCATTTCATAAATAGCCATGGCAAAGGGCAAAAATTACTCTTAGATGCAGAAATGCCAATTCACACAATCATGTCAAAAATCTTTAGCTACTCTGCCTACCTCAGAAGGAAAATTTAACCAAAGATGCAGTTGGTAAAATTAAGCCACAGGGTGCAGAACAAAGGATTTAAAAAAATCAAGTTTCATATAAGGGTGACTAGAATGTCATATAATGTGGGGACCACCATAAATATGTACAAAGCTGCCCAGGTCAAAATAACACTTAGCACATCATAAGTTTTTCTGTGCCTCTTCCTTTAATATGCCCTACAACTATTGCAGCAACCTCACAAGTACTATTATGCTACTAATACCTATTTGGACTTAATGCAAAGATCTAAAATGAAATTCACATTGCATGAAGCAAGGGTATATGACCACAAAAAGTCAAATATTAAAATACCTTAATCTGGGCATCACAAAATACTGTTTTGCATGTGAGTTAAATGGCTTACTCACAAAATCAATTAATCCCATTTTACTTCCAATGTTAAGCAGGAACAGAAGACAGACAATCCAGATTCTTTCACTAAATTTCCAGAGAATGTATATGTACATCAGCACTCGTGAATTTGTCAGAAGTTCTATGCAGAAGATAGGACTTCAATAGTGGTAAAAGGAGAGGCTTTCATCAGTGTATTGATCACTAAATTTTATGGAGGCAAATTAATCAACTGTGTACACCATTGAAATGAAATCATTCTTTCCCAGCTTTACTTCATTTTGAAAAGCAGGGCAGTTGGAATAGTCAAAGTTTAGTAACTTGGGCAAGATTTAATGAAAAACATATATTGAATTACTCTCCAATCTAATTACTGCCTCTGGCATTTTTTCCAGACCTTAATGGAAAGTTCTCATAGTAACAATGTTGTTCACTGATTGCTGGAATTGCCTACTTTCAAAGATTATGTACTGGCATGAACAAGTCTTGATGGGCTGAAAATGGATGAATGTGCTTCTCAAAATGTGACGTGCCCAGATCAGAGGTGGTACAACTAGACCTAAATGGGACCACAGGGAGTCATATGGATGCATCCAGCAACAAATAATCTGAATCCCTTCCTCGAACCTTGTATCTATACAGCCAGCTGCAGCTGCCCTTGTAACAATCTCGACATTACAATGAAATGAACTACTAACAAATATGTTCCAGAAGGGCCTCCTACACCAAGCTGTTCATGGGTCCCTACCTACTCATGCAAAAAAAAACTCCTAATGAAGACATCTTACAACTGGAACACATTTGTTCTACTTCTATTAACAGAAGAACCTGAGATTTATAGTTACTTCTTTTCACATCTATAATAATACTGGAACTAAATACAATGGCATGTTCCGTGAGACAAAGAGACAGAGGTTTGACTATTCCCCTGAGAACGTTAACCAGCTGCTGATCGCTTCAGCCAACGCGTTCGAGTATCGTGATTTCCCTTCCCCAAAGCATTGGCCAATGGAACTTTACGCACTCACTTATTGGTATTTGCTGACACTACGGGCCAGTCATAGCCTATGCAAATTATGCCTAGGTCCTTAGGTCTTGGTAGGTCTAACGTTAAGTCTTTCTACAGGCTTCTGCTTACTTTCAAAGGCCGCTAAGGCCTATGAATCAGGGAGCCATTGTCACAGTTTCATTTCCCATTTCCTTTAGAATTAAATTTCACCAAACTAGGCCTCCTTTCTTCGTAACGGCAGGTCCAAGACCTGGGAAAAAATGAACTGGATTCAGTTTCACAAGCGAGAACGAACTGAACGGATCAGAAACGGCAGCAGCCTGACCGCGGAGGAGTCCATAACCAACGTTACTCATTTCGGGCAACTTCGATTTTGCTCGGAAGTCTCGACAGTCCCACAGGTGAATTCTGTCATGGAATTCCAGAGGAATTCCATGACAGTCTTCCCTGCCTTAAAAAAAAATTGTGACGATAATAAAATTGCTATGCAATGACGCGCCAATCTAGGATATTCCAATGAGGGCATTAATCAAAACATTTGTTGAAGAGCGAGAGAGAATGACAACGCCAAAGAATGCAATCAAGGTGACAGTCACAAGGAAAGGGTTGAAGCAGGAGGGGGGGAAGGGGGGGGGGGGGGTTTGAATCCACCCAAACCCCCCCCAACCCCCACCTCCCTTAGATGCGTTCCAGCCATCGACTGAATATAGGCTCTATACACTACAGTGTCACGAAAGTACCCCAAAACCGTCATTACGCCGTTCGATCGCCTTTATTTTCTAATGCTGTTTTCGAGTCCGAATTGTTATCGCTAATGCGCTCCCCGCATCGTCGTTGTTTAGTCTCAACGAACAGGAGCATTCGGCTTCAGATGATCGTCTCGGCGGGACACGGAGTCCAGTCACCGACAATCTCTCGCGCAGTGGCGTCGACAGGGATTATCTGCGACTGCTCTGCCATCAAGCAGCATGTCGCTTTACAGCTTGGATTCGTCGGAGTAGAATTTTTCCGGGCTCCGTCTTCTATCTCATTCCAGTTCAAGTCCGCAAGAATAAAGAAAACTTATCTAATATATATAGACGATCGCGAGTGACTGACGCTAATTCTAACCATGTTCTACAAAAGTTAGAAATCTGAAACTTGGTTCACAAGTAGCTATTAGGATGCAGAGTTCAGAAAAAACGCCAAATTTTAGATGCACCTCCTGGGAGCATAATCTTTTTGGAGTGACATTTTCAAATAATTTTTTTTTTTTGGTCCTGGCGAATCGGGCAGAAACAGCAAGGTGAAATTCGACGCACGCGTAACTGACGCGATGCCGAGTTGAGGGAAAATTCAGCTTTTGTGCGGGCATGTAGTCCTCCGAGTACCGATTTCAGTGAAAATTTTACTTTCAAGTAAAACCCCTCAGAGCACCTTTTTTTTTTTGCTAGAGGCGGATTTTCCCGATATTTTTTTTATCCAACGAAACAGAGAGCTAAAGAAATTTGAAACTCGGCTCAGAAGTACCCAAGGGATAGCTGAGAAAAGAAAAATCAAACTTTTGACATTTGTTCCCTCAGTGTTTCGAGATTTGTTTTCCGCTCAGACAAAAGGGAGAACACGAGGAGATTTGAAGTTAGGCACACAAAAAATAATCGGAGAAATGATTTCGATAATAATTTTTTTTAATCTCGGGAAGTTTTGAAAATGAGTCAACGATTTAATCATTATCCTAAATAATGTAGGGCCAAACTCCCTAATTTATTTATTTATATTTTTTCTGACACTTTGGGGACCACCCAACTCTGAACTTCATCCCGCCAAATTTTCTTTAGTTGCGCAATTTGTTCGAACATCGTTTTTTTCTTTTCTTTGGAATTTCCTCGATATTGCATGACTTTGCTGTCTGCGCATTTTTTTTATATAAGGTATGGCTGACTCATTGAATTAAATTCGCGTGGCACGTTTGGGACTCAGATATGACATATTTAAAGGATTTTTAAAAGGATATTTAAAGGCTCCATCTTTCCTCGTCGCAGACAGGTATTTTTAACTTGCCAAAAGTGTGCGAAAAGTGGAAAAAAAAAATTCAACGGCACTTTAGATTGCCAAGAAATCTCAACTTGACAAAAATAAAAAATAAAAATTCGGCGAGAATTTGTATCTCTCGTTTTAAATGAGCTACCACAGGCAGTAGAATTTCACAATTTTCGAAATCCCACGACCCAAAAGTCGATCGGATTTGCATGTCCACCGGGCAAGAAAAGGTCTT